TTTCTTACAGGCGTTTAGCAGCTCGACAGGTAGAAATTCAGTTTTTTAAGGCTCGGCAACCAGGCTGCGGGTCGGACTCGGAATGGAGGCCGAGGGAGAAAAGGGGCGACCCGGCGCCGCCAGGTCTTTTTTAAGTACAAAACTCCTGCGTATTTATTTATTTATTTATTTATTTATTTTTTGCAACGGGACCCACGGAAAGAAAAAGTGACAGGCATTCGCGGCGTGGACGGTGAGATTTGTTTCAGCGGCTAAAATATTTTCCCCCGCCTTGTAAATGTTAACAGCAGCAGAAGCGGTTAGCGGGCAGTTTTAGACAAGGCGAGCGATTGGATTCTCACCTGAACCGGGTGCAATTGGGTGCAATCTGAAAGCCTCTGCTCCGGAGAATCTTTTGGGGGTGGGGGTGTGTGTGTGTAAAGTGCGGTGGGCAGACGTTTTCAGTTTTTCGAGAGTTGGAGGGTTTTTTGTGGTTTAAAGTGAATTGAAAAAGAAGTGTCCGTTTTAAAGCAGCTGCATTCTATTTTTACCCCGTATTTTAAGACTAACCCTGTAAGTTTTAAACCCAGTTCATGCATCCTACTCAGAGCTTAACCATAGTTTATTGAACAAGCCACAATTTTGAAACAGGTTACAAAAGCAAACCCAAACCAGCCACTTCTGGTCTTTGTATAGAATGGAATAGAATACAATATAATTCAAAAAATCTCACACTGTTACTATACTTGTATTGCAAATCCTAGTCCCTTCATTCGGCTGTCCTGAGGTTTTACCTCTCTTTGCTTTTGGGGGGGGGGAGACACTCATTTCTTTTGCCTAGAAGCGACCTGCTCACAGACCCTCCTAATGGCCAGATTTGGGTGGGTGGGTGGTCACTGACTGCAGAGAGAGGAAACTCTGCACATGATCAGAGAGGTCCCTGTCTCTGAATTAAAGCCCCTGTTTTGCTAGGAGGATCCTACAAATTCAGGGCCCAAACAGGCATGGCCAGAGGGAAGCTAAAATATTTCCAGTTCCATCACTGAATGATTGGGGAGGGGGGGAGCAGTCCCAGGGAAAAAATAGCTGCTTTTAAGAGCTTGCATTTTCATGCACCTAGCTTGAGTGCATGGGCACCACACACGCGCATGACACATTCACCAAATAATTACGGGGCTGCAGATAGAACCAGCCGTGTCTCCCAGGGCATTCGTGCCTATAGAAGACAATGGTGTTGTGCTGGATAATGACCGAGTTGCCCTTGACTTCCAAGGTGTTGTAGGTCCTCAGGTTCTGGCGACCAGAAGAATGGAAGGACAGGCAATGTTCACAGGAGCACGAAGCGTGCCAGAGGTTCTGGGGGTATCGTGTTGCGTCGAAATCTTTCCTGTAAGAGGCAAGGACAGTTAGGGTAAGAACCATACTTGACCCCAGTTGTCCACCTGGATGCAAGCACGTGGTCGTGGACAGGGTTTGCCCTGATCTTCTGGGACGTTTCTTCAAACTTCCAACCCACCCCATAACCTGGTGGTCTCCTCTCCTCAGCTTTGCGGAGTGGAAAGGAATGGGGGGACTTGGGGAAGAGATGGTATTCTCCAGAGTTCAGCTGACTCAGTGTTTTTCAGAGTTGGCCACTTGAAGATGTGTGGACTTCAACTCCCAGAATTCTCCAGCCAGCCATGCTGGCTGGGGAATTCTGGGAGTTGAAGTCCACACATCTTCAAGTGGCCAACTCTGAAAAACACTGAGCCAGATGGAGTGGAAAACAAGCTTTCAACAGCCCTCTCGACAAACACAATGGGGTTTTAGTACCCAACAACTGCCAATTGATAACGTACTTGCAGTCTGTCTCTCACGGGTAAATTGCATCTGCTTAACCAACCTGTCTTCCCCACCCTGCCTCACCTCCATTTAAACTCTACATCAATCTAGCCCAGTGGTTCTTAAACTCTTTGACCCAATGACCCCTCTTCCCCCTCTCGAATCATAGCATTATCCCCCCCCCCACAAAAAAACCCAGGCTCTGTTCTTTTACATTAGCATCTTAGCAGCGGGATCCTCGATTCCCAAACAAGCAATTAGAAATTGCTGCATTAATCCCACGATAGGCCCAAATTTCCCCAGGTCTAGCCATTCCGTGCATCTGAAGACAGAAATGAGCTGCTGTTCATGACAGCTTCTGCCATTCAAATAAAATTTGCTGGTCAGAAAAGGTGCTCCCAGATTCCTTTGGATTTTTGCCTACCGTAGACAAACCTGGCTGCAGAAAGAGGAAAGGTGAGGAAGAAACTTAAAATAAAGCCCACCTTGATTTGGTTTAGTATCAGGTGGAACAGAGAAAAACAGGTTTTCAAGGTTCTGTGGTTCTCCCTTAACACAATAAAAAACATTCCTAGAATCTCTGCTGTGCCTGTTTCATTATTAGACGATTATTGGTCGCCCAGTCAGCCAGATGTTTAGACTGGATTTGGCATTTTTATCCACCTGTCGAGTCCTCCCCAAGGACCTGGGATAGGCAGATGTTGTTTGATGGTGTTAAAGGTATTGTCACAGGACGGAAGCTGTTCCAAGTAAAGCTGCCTTTTGCAATTGACTGAGGGTGATTTTGTCAATGCCGATGGATGGTCGTCAAGTGGGGCTCCAGATGTTTTGGGATTAAACCAAGCTGCCTATGACTATCGGGACTATCTTTGCTTTCTTTTGCCGCAGTCGTTCTACTTCTGTTTGCAGGTCTTTATACAGTGGTACCTCGGGTCACGAACAGCACCGTTCGGAAAATTTTGCTTCCGTTCGTGAACTCCGCATCGGGTGACAAACAGGATCCGCGGCCATTTTCCCTGCCGTGA